TGGAAAATTGGTATTTGAATAGTTTGAGACCTTAGGAAAGTAATCATTTATAGGTACTTTATCCCTAAAACCAGATAAGGGAATTGTGTGGGGATTGATTACACCATAGTAGCCATAGTGTACTATTTGGTTTGTTATTGTAATAAATCTATTTAATATTATTTTTATATGGAGATAAAAATTGTTATTTGAGTAATTAATGAGAAAAAACAAATACATTTTTAAATTTGAATTTTTGAAAATGTGCAATTCATTTTATAGATATAAGAAGCATTTTTTTGAGCTTGACTAAATGGCGTCAAGTGTATTCTTAATCGCGTTATCGTTTGGTTAAAGTAGACTTCAGTTTTTTATACTAATAATCTATTTGTTTGCACTGAGTAGGTTCCAAAACTATTGGACCGATTTTATAAAGTCTTTCACCCACGGGTAGCTATGTCATACGTGGGTGACATCGGCTATACGTTGCAAAGTTGTAGTAAAACAGTTCTACATCATGGCTGGTTTACACAGATTAAGTTTATAAGTAATTTAATTTTAAGTTTTAAATGTGTTTACAAACCTAAAATTAAAATAAAGTTAACTACTCATAAACTTAATCGGTGTAAATCAGCCATCGTATTATACTTTAGATGCGAAACGCAGAATCGAATGTTATCCAATATCGATAATAGATATTTTTATCACTGTAACCATAGAAATAAATAGAAGTGACTGCGACTGCGAAATTAATTGATTTTTATCACTGAATAACTCACGATGCAGTCACGCGCTTTTATAAGATTTGCTAGACAATGTTTCAAGCCCACCAAAATGAATGCGTAAGTTTCCATTTATTCCCAGTGTCGAGGTTGACCCTTTTTGTGCTTAAATGACTGGGCTATTTGTATTCATACTCTTTTGAATAGTTTCATTTCGCTTCTCATACAGTAAATGTACTGCGAAAAGAAAATGATCTGCGGCTCGGTTATTTGAGTTTTTATTTGTGACCGGTTTTAAAAAACCAAGTCTCTACATTCGCATGGTTTTCATTGTTCAAAATTATAAAATGTTTGATAATAATTATATCAGTAAAGATAATACTGAAATTATCATTGGTTCTATTTCTCAGGATTGATTTACCGATCGATAGTATAGTATATTCGGTGTTCAAAAATATGTCACACCTTTTTTAATGAACCATAGTTAAAACATTGTTTTATTACTTATTCTCAAGTAATAAAGCTTTTGTTTAAAAAATATTTAAGTGAAACTTTGATATTTGTAATAATATTTCTTTGGGCTGTTTGGGTGGATTGCCTGAACACTGATGAGAATACGCTTTGTAGTAGAAAAGAAGTAACAAGTGCTTAAAAGATTCGTCAGTCCTGTTAGATCCTGGGTAGCTCATTGGTCAAAGAGTCACCCGGATTGCGGAAGGTCTTCGAATAGGTTCGAATCCCATCTCAGGGTACCACAGACCAAGTGGGTTTTAAGCATTTTTCATTAAGAATAAGTATCCATAGATTATTATTAACACAAATAACATTCACATAACACAATACAAACAAGAAATATCTGCTATTATTTTAGATTATATATAAAATATAAACCTACATAACAAAAACATGTAAATTATAATAGTGTAACAAGCATCAGTGCTATATAAAGGTGTAAATTATTCTAATATAACAACTTACCCGGAGAAAATTCAACGGCAATATTCGCCGATACGTCTGGCAGGTACGTCTCAAACACTTCTGCCAAATGAAATTAGTAAAATACATGCAAAATGACTAATCAAGCTAAGCGAGATGAACTAAAGGAGACGTTACACTTGTACATGAAATATAAAATTATGTTATGACAAAAATATATCTGTAGTGTAACAAATATGAAAAATTACCATTTTGAATAACGAAAATGTTTTGATTGTTATATTAAAATACAGAAAATTGTTTTGAGAAAAAGATGGTGATTTTATAACAACATCAACTTTGAAAACTCAGAAACTAGTTCATAGCACGATTCATTACGATACATTTTACTAAACTAATTTCTAAAACCAAATGGGCTACGGTATTATTGATACCTGCATTAAGATGAGTGACATTCCAATTGAAATATTGGTAGTAATGATTGATCATGAAAGAACAAGTCAATTATAACCTTTCTTGTTTGTTTAAATTTACCTAGAAAGTCATTGTGACTGATTAGCATTAAAATTTCATAATAAAGTGTCACCAAGGGCACATAACATTCTTAAGAATGTATATGAAGTCGATGAAAACATGACGAAATTTTAAAATCGCAAGTGTAAAAAATAATTCACTTATTAAAGTATTTTAAGTATGACACAGACAAATTAATATCAGAATTAATTGAATTTTACAGAGAAATTTCGAATTGAGAAAATATTATAAATTCACGTTTTATTTTAACGTAGCATCTTCAATATTCATTTAGAAATGCTAATAGTACCAAAAACAGTGTCATTTGGAAACATTATATTGCAAGGATATTGACATAATTTTTTTGTAAGCGTGAAGATCAGAAGTGAAACATCTCCTTTATTCGTGTTCTTAACGTAATGTTATGTTTTGAAACTCAAAACATTAAACTCGAGATAATATTAATAGTCACAATCCCGGGGATACTAATCATATTATTATCAGCATATAATAATCTTCATTACTGCCGCATAACAGCCTACTCGGTGGATGGCAACATAACCAGTTAACTGCTAAATAATTTATTATACAATGTTTTCCCGCAACTGCGCTGGGAATATTATAGTCTATGTCATCCGCGTATAATGTAGCTTTCCCTAGGTGAAAGAATTCATGATCAGCCCTGCGATTCTGTAACAATCCAGACCCGAATTCGAATTCACTCATGTGTCCGAATTCTCGGCATTTAGTAAAGAAATCCTATTGATTCCATTTTTTGTATAAAAATACTAAACAAAATTGATTGATTAAACGTGTCATAGATATTTTAATCCTATATCATTTAGAAACTCATTTCACTTTTGCCACGAAACGTTATAACCAATTCAAGTTTGAGCGGATGCCGCTTTTTGAAGTGAATTCGGACACGTGAGTGGTTTCGAATTCGGGTTTGAAGTTTTACAGAATCGCAGGGCAGATCTGAGCGCTTAGTGTAAGTTTTTTTGACGTTTACGTTCACTGTCGATCGTGAGCGCGTTAAGATTTTAGTATGGAATCCGGTACAGCGCCCCTAGCGGTAACTACCAAGAACTACAAATCTCCATACAAATTCTTAACGCGCTCACTAGTGAACGCGTTAGCGTAAAACTTACACTTACCACTCAGTACACGCGAAGATTTCCCCCTACAAAACAAACAAAGAAAGTTTGAATCTTTACCTCGTTTTAACATGAGTATTGATTATTACTTTTATTTTCGATTATACATTCTTATAAAATAGTTCCATATTTTGAAAACTTACGTGACTAGTACAAACAAGATTTTAATTTACATTGAAATCAATCATTCAATTTATATGCGGTTTCATTATTTGTTATGAATTATGCTCTCGTAAAATCCGGTGATATTTTATAGTCAATTAGTATCCCCGTTAATAGACAACAATATTATCCAGAAACTTATGTATGAATATAATATAAATATAGTTACAAAATCATCGTGCGTTTCATGCTAAGTACAATGTTGAGTATGTCATGATTTTTTACAATACGAAAAATGTTACTCGATTTACAAACATGCGTTAAGGTATGTACTAATAAAATCTGCGAGCATATTTCGACATTTTTCATTAATATATCTCTCTCTATCTAACAAAAAATATGTATGAGAGAGGGAGGAAATTGCTCAAAGCAATTCAAGGTGATTTTTATGCCCGAATTTTGATTTTGTTGTATTTGATCTCTTTGTGTATTAATAAGTTTATTTATTATTTTTAATTAGACTCAAATGTAAAAGATCGTCTATGCAGTCAAGTCAAGTAAAACCTTTTTAATATTTATAAATTAATAACATAAAAAGTTTGAATAACTTTTATGGTTATAATCGATCTTTCACTTTTGTACATATTTTAGTTAAATAATATAATTAAGCTAAATTTAATCGCAATATAAATATTTTTGCACTTACACGCACAAAATAAGCGGAAATTTAATTTTAATAAAGTAAAAACTATATTTGACAAATAAAAACAAATACATATTTTTTTTAATGAAGAAACATACAAGTATTGTCCTTTACCTTAGCCATCCACGTAACGAGTTTTTAAACAAACATAAAGTCGCGTTTGTTACCCGAAGCGCTAGGCAAGTCACATTGATCTCCACTCACACTTCTGATACCCCTTTGTTCATAACCTCAAAATTAATAATTTGTAGTTTATGTTATACATTGGAAAGTGTGAAACAAACAATGCTGTTCGTTCTTACACGTCACAAATTAGTTTGTTATCTATAATAATTATTACAAAAAGGAAACATTATCATTACAAAGAGGAATAGGCGCCGAAATTACTGGACCTGTGTCATACGTGACATAGGCTATAATTATATATAACTAGCTTTCGCCAGCGGCTTCGCCCGCGTGGACCCTAAGGAAATGTTAAGTGGGATAAAAAGTATCCTATTATCTAAGTCAGCTAATACCCTATCTGTATACCAAATTTCATCAAAATCCGTTCAGTAGTAGTTTCGGCGTGATTGACCGACAAACATCCAAACAAAGAAACTTTCATATTTATAATATTAATATATATTTACGCGGGCGCAGTCGTAGCAAAACAACTATCGGTATATATTTTTATGTGAAGATTGTTGAGTTGATAGGCTACTATTTTGCATGAAAACTGATATTAACTTTTGTTATTTCCTTTCGATGTCGGAGGTGATGTCTCGGGTCTAGTCTCAGTTAATTTCATCTCATCAGCTAGTCTCATATTATAAATAGAATATTTAAAACATGACCACTTAATATTCGTTTTAAATTTCTGGGATTACAAGGGGAATGTTTTTTTTTGTCGATGACGTGTCGTCACATATTGAACAAATATTTTATCTTTATTTAAGGTGAACGTTCATATGTCAGCACGCGCGCACCGGCCGTACTCTTGCCGGTAGTTAGACTGTATCCATATAAATTGGTGCGATAAAATAAATTATGCATGCATAAAGTTAACGCAGATGCATGCTCATTAAAAAGAATGAGTTAATTGTTTTATTAAGTGAACTCTTTATTTACATTATTAATAATATATTTCAGCTTATTTTGTGTGGTTTTTTGTATAGTGCATTCTAATGTATAAAAATAGAAAAAAAGAAGTAAAAAGATTGACTAAGCGACCTAACCTTTGATATTATATTATGACTACAAACCCTTTTGACACTCACCGCCAAGCAGTTCCGGTTCTCCAAGGTTGACGTAGAAGAGAACATCCTTCTCGTAACTGTCTTCTTCTATTATGTGAAGAGGGATGAATTTCCTGAAACAATGTGAACATAATTTTGCAGAATAATTTTGAAATCCTTATATAATTACGTACCCACTAATTTGGGTTTTTTTAATATTATCATTGTAATCAACCCATTAATGTGTTCACTGTTGGGACGAAGCCTTTCTTATTGATGGAATTAAATAGGGAGGGGGGGTCATAATTCATCACAAAGGTCTACTGCGGATTGGTGTATATTAACGACTGCAGATGAAATTGGGAAACGGCTTAACTTTTTTAAAGACAAACACAGAAATCCTTAAAACTAGAAACAATATTTTTGTACGGAAAATATAACAATGTAAGGACTGTTATATAGTTTTATAAAGAAAAAGCTTAGAGTTATGTTGAGCGATTGAATTTAAAATATCAGCAGTTAACACTAATTTCATTATTTATTCCAAAAAAATAGGAATAGTTTTAGATGCATCAATAAAATGACCATAATCAGAATTTTCACCAGTATTATCTCAAAAATTATAGTTGATAAGGTAATTCTCATAACTCTTCATAATTCAGGGCTCGTGTCTTGAATATAAAAGGTTCTAGTTAATTATACACCAGAGAAAAATTAAAAAGCTTTAGGCCAGTGTCGCAGTGAACTGTTCTACTTACACAAACCAGGATAAACAGGATATCAAAATAAGCCATTTACACAATACGCATAACATGTTTATGGATAAGGCAAAGGAATTATCTTATTGTAAATAAGAAATACCTTGAGTCTCGGATAAATGTTCGGATAAAGTGCCACTGTTAAGGATCTGTTTTCCAATAAACAAGGGCTTGAGCGACACATTTGGGGACTTGAATAATTTATTTGACGTGACTCCGGCAGACACAAATGCTGTTGTTCGATGGCTGTGTGATTTACATTTGCGTCTAGAAATATTACCAATATCTACTTCATCAATATGTTTATGACATTTTCAAGCTATTTTTTATGTTTTCAAATAATCACACTTAGCTGAATACTGTAATATATATTTATTAACTTTAAGATCTTACAACGTTACAAATTACAACGTACAATACCACAGACTATATAGAGAATAGAGAAACAGAAACACAGACTCAATTTACAACACTATTGTTTTATTAAATGAGACATATTTGCTTCAGAATGGTCTGCAGAGATTTTAATATAATTAAGTACTTCTGGTAAGGAATATAAAGTACTGTCCTTTTAGATACTCGAGCAAAAACTTGTCCAAATATACTAGAGGAAAATGTTTCAGCTATGAGTCTTTGCACAAATGATTTATCCTTTATTTGTTACGGTGCTGGGCAACTAGACATTGAAATAATTATAACCATATATTATAAACTATATATTTTCATATTTACTGTATTTGTTATAAAGGGTTCCTGTTTAGCTAATAATCGTAAAGCGCAGGGACTGAACGACGATAAGGCGAAGTCCTACTAAGATTTTATTGTTATCATTATGTGTATTATTTTCTTTAAAGAACCTAATTTGAATAAATATATTTTGACTTTTATATAAGTTTTCGATGTCACCAGTCGTTTTCTTAACCACAGAAACTTGCATGATGTGTGTTACTTTATTTGTTTTCAATTTTTTGATGATAAAAATAGTCAATTATATATTTAGGCATATGAAAATATGATATAATATAAATGTAAACAGGTATAATTACGTATTTATAACAAAAATACTGTAAACCAGCGGCTGGACCAACCTCTATTTATAATTTGCCTATGTTTTAATGGTTTTTATATATTTTTGATGTTAATTTAATATTGGTTTTATATTGACGCTTTAGAGAAAAAGTTATGTCTGTCGGCATTACAAGTTTTCGTAAATACCATAAGTATTTTATTTTCGCACCATTAGTGTCCACATCACCCTCGACACTACGTCATTAACAAATGCATTCAAGTAGGTATTAACTTTGTGTGTCATTGTCCGTTTTTCTCAGTTTGGAATTATAAGTATAAATCAAAAGATATTCTTTGACTGTTTCACTGTGGAAAGATTATTTAATTTTTTTTTGCTATATAGGTAAGATTCTTTTTTGCTTAATAATTTAAGATTACCTAAGGTACTACGAGTATGTAGGATAGGAATGTTATATAAATCTGCACATGGATCGACATAAACATACCACGCGTATTATAACCCTTAACATCTGCTCTTACCCGGAGTTAGAACTGAAACGCCCCGAGCACCCTCTGCTATAGTGCCACTCAACACGATCCCGCGACATTTACGCCATTTGACTGAGATCCAAGGGAAAATAACCCTCCAATCATTCTGCAAGTCGAACGATTTCCTACTGTTTTCGGAAAATGGAACAAAGAGCCTGCTAATTCTGCAGAAAATTATTGTACCCTGGCTACCATTCAGGGCTCAGATTTCTGGTGGATATCATCAACCAGCTCGTATGAAACTCCATACAGATTTATTGATTTCAGTTAAAATATCAAAACATAATGATTTGTGTTCAAATTACCGGTTAATTTAACTTTCAGAATTCAGTTACTCTTTAACCAATGGTTGAGCTTTTAAAAGTTAAGATTCAAGAGATTCAGCGAGGATGTTGCTAAGAGTTTCATATTTGCACTTTTTATTTTTAGGACTTGACTTAATGGATCGATTTCTGATTTTGCAGCAAGAGGGTTGACAAGTGGCAATGTAATGTATTTCTAAAATTGTTATTGATTATATGCCATCATGTCTAACACTGTCTGACGTAACATTAAACAACGCTTCCGTTTAACCCTTCAGTTGATATATTTGCCCCAGCTCAGTTGCTTTATTTTGTGGTATCGCTTAATCGCTTATCAGCCTGGTTTCCCTTACATGCCGCGCATTACCGTTTTCAAATATACTTTTGCATAATGTCTCAGACATGGGTGTTGTGGTACCTTTGTTGGCTTATAAAGTCCATAATACGGGGTTTTAGCTATTCATCTTGGAATCTGAGCAATTTATGTGACGTTGTCTAATATTTATTTATTAACATTTATAAGCTTCAGTAATATTCAGTGCAGTAAGTTACACTAATATAAAATCAGAGTCCCGAGCGATAATTAATAAAAAAAAAAAAATATACACCATCCAATCGATTTTGCATACGTATACAATATGTATTCTTAAAAACAAAGGTTTTTGTAATAGTTTTAAAAGACGAGAAAACAATCCCGTGGCATTGACTTCTACTGCCATTCCTCTCAAACCGATGAATATGTAGAACCTTTACACAGTATTAATCAAGGTAAAATTCATTTTGGTAGTTTCATCAGGTTTCGAAACAAAGAAAACAGCTTCATAGTCGCGAATAACTTGTCTACGATACTGAAAAACTTTGAAAGCGTAAAGATCTCCCTCCTTGTTCTGCAACTTTAAAGTTTTGCTTTTACCAAATAACTCTCGTTATATCTTAATTTTCTACAACGCTGAATACCTCTGACTACGGTTTTGTTTAATGAGAATCTTCTTCAAATTTTAATATACTGAATATGATAGTTTCAGAAGCAATTTCGTATGTCAGCGACCCTATGATATAGTTCCTTCAACGTATTTAAAGCGTAAAAACAACTTTGAGGTTGGAATACGCAGTATTTTAAACTTTTATCATGAAAAATACTGTGCATGTTAAAACCATAATACAAGTACTCAATTAGTTTGACTAATTATAATGTTTCATATGAAATAAACATAAAAAAAATATCATGAAAAATAGTCTTTCAATATGCCGATGCCATAAGCTTTAATTTCATTAAAAAATACAAAATAATGTACAATGTTCTTAACTTGCAATCTGCTTTTTCTTTGTTCTGCTATTTTAGTATCACACCAGCTTATTAGTGTCTCCGCTGCTGGGGCTCAGGCCTTCCATATGAATGAAATAGAAAATGGATAACGGGCCATGAACCATCACGCGGGACATGCGCGTAGGAATTGGTGTGTGGGTGTTAACTAGTGCAAATGCAACCGGGAGTCCGGGACCAACGGCTAACGTGCCTTCCGAAGCACGGTGTAGCTACATCCGAAGCACGGTGTACAACTAAAAATTTACTATATCGAGCTCGATATAGTAAATTTTTAGTTCACCATTCCATGACTGACCCTTGCGAAAATTTCTTAATAACTGTATCGCAAACCGAGCATGCTCACCACAGCGCCATAGAATTTCTTGTATTTTATTGTATTCATTAAATTTATACAAGGTATATATTATAATATTATTCAAAAATCCACAAAACCCTAGCCGCTTCCGCAAAAAGAGACGATTCACCGCCACTTCCTATGTGTCGTTTATCAAACTAACTAACAAAAAGTGTACTCTAAGCTAGGAGCTAACTATTTTAAAAATATCGCTGGTTTGTTTATCACGCAAACCACAGACATATAAAAAATATTTGTATGATTGAAACAGTTTCATTTATTTTGTCTCTTCAGACTGCTTCTATTTTTTTTTATTTGTATATTGGCATGTTATATTCATTTATTAGAAATAATGTCATAAATATCGACTAATGAATAGATTTATCTATTTATTTTCAGCGCAGTTGGTATTGACAGTTTATCTAACTTTCAAGCACTCATAGTTATCGTCAATAGATGTTCCGAATTGACAGTAGATAAAAAGCTTGGACTATTGCTTATTAAATAAGTGTGAGTTTATTCGAAACGTCATTGTTAAATGTATATTACCCAACATTATCATTAGCTGAAGTTTTTAATTGAAGTTTGCCGGTATTCTTTTTCTAGAATTTATAAGCACACCAGGGGGCCAATTCTACTAAATAAATTTTGTTTAAATCGAATCGAAAACGGATCGAAACCGAACGAAACTACAGTTTTTACGAGACTATATTTACGAAACTGTAGTTTCGTTCGGTTTCGATTCGATTTAAACAAAATTTATTTAGTAGAATTGGTCCCCTGGTTGCCAGAAAATATCAGCATAATTCATTTTAAAATTCACCGGAAATGTATTAAGGCTTAAATTCAAGTTGAT